GTTTGGACCATATTAGAGCCCTCTACTCCTACATTTTGAGGAAGGGTGGTACCATTTTTTTTAGCTTCGGCTACAGCTTTAGCATGCAAAAATTCATTTTTACAACATGACATTAAATGATTACTCAAATGTCCCGTCCCACCCTGTTTTCCTACAGTTTTATGATTCATTCTATGTTTACATTTATTACAAATAGCTTGTGTTTTATCTTCATTCTGAGTCATAAATTGCCACACAACTGATTTTTTAGCGCGTTCTACCTTAGTCCTAGGATGCACGGGGGGAACGGGAGCAGGACAACGAAAGGGAGCGGAAGCCGGGGAAGAGGGATTGGGAGTGGGACTAGTAGCCGACGGTGGCTCAGTTTCATCATCATCATATTCATCAACATTATTATCAAAACTATCAACATAAGCATTAACATCATCATGTTCATCATCTTCAGGTAATTCCTCTTCAAAATTACCAAATCTTCTTTGTAAATGTTCATGATAAGGATCTAATCCACTATTACTATCAATATTAAAAACAGTTCATCAACATGCGTATAATCATCCGTATTTATTCTTAATTGAGAAGTTTTTTTAGTTTTAGATTGAGAAGTACTACCGGTTTTTTTATTTTTCTTGGATTTTGAGCTAGATAAATTAGTGAACGAATTAACTATGGTTGTTTTACCCTTTTCAATAATGTTTTTTCCGAAATCCATATTCAAATATAAAAAGTGAGTAAATTATATATAATACGAAAATGATTAGCAAAGTTTTAAACAAATAAACAACTAAATAAGTAGAGACTAGAGATTAATTACTCACAAAATAAATAATTAAATGCAAACAAATAAATAACTAAATGAAAAGTGAGTTGGAACGAATGTACCAAACGTCTACTTAAAAAAGTAGACGTGTATGACCGGAAGGCGGAAGCAGAAAATTGAAAGTTGAATTTTGAAGCTCCAATTTCCAAAGACCAAATTCGTAATTTTAACGAGAATAAGAGAATTTAGAGAGTAGAGAGATTAGAAGATATTTTTGTGAGTGAAAAGAATGAAAGATTAGGGGTATTTATAGTTTAAAAAAAGGATGAAAATGTAGTTTTGGTATTAAAAAAAGTTTGGGGGGTAGGGAGGTGTAAATGGGAGTTATGGGGGTGAAAGAGCCGTTGGTGGGGCCCAAAACACATTGCCCAACGGCTCTCAACGGCTATAAATTTTGAAATTTCAGATTTAAAAAAAATAATAAAAAATTGTTCTGAACCGGATCGGAACCGGGACTAACCGGATCGGGACGGACCGGTAAATCCTGGTTTCCGTCCCATTACCCCTCCCGGACCGGCACAATACCGGATCGAGCCGGTACTATCCGGAACCGAGACAGAACCGGTACCGGTACCTCCCGGTTCCGTTGCCAGCCTTATTCTCATTTATACTTTTCTTGTACTCGGTAGAAGCATTTCAAAATCGAACAAAGCATTTAAGTCTTATCAAATCATATTATTTCAAAGTTTAACAATCACATGTCAAAAATTCCATTTCTCAAAAAGTGTAAAACTCGTTCTATCTTATAAAAATGAGATCATCTCAAATAATCTTTTCAGTATCATATCCAGTAAAAGACTTGTCCCACATGCAAGTTCAAAACATTCGATAACACATTTACTTTATAAACCATGTAAAAATCATGAAATACAAATTGTGGTAAGATTACTACTCACAATACTCGTGTTGAAATACCATAATTGTTACCTCAAGCAAAATGTATGTCCTCCCTTCAATCAATCTATAATCACATCATATCGATCTCATGCATGTTAAAATCTCATTTAAATTACTCCTTCATAATAAATGTAGTTCATATATATACTTAGCTATTTCAACGTCCTACTTATACGATTTGTTCATCCCATTCCTTAGGGAGAAGTATACTAAACTAGTGCTTAAGATGAAGAAACAATCCATTGACAATTGTTTACTAACGATATCTTTGTACACAAAAACAAGACAAAAATTCATGATCATAAAAAGATAAGTCAAGTAAAATTTATTGACCGAATGAGGCCTTTACCGGAAGCAAATGCACTTGTTCAAAAGTTGTCGTAATATGATGTTATAAGTAGTTATCCGCTACTCATGTTGTGCTGCTTGAAATTGTACTTCTTTAATTACCCAATTAAAACTATCAATCATCTTGGACTTGAAGCTATTATATATGTTGCTTCTTCTTCCGCATAATCTTTTAAAACCCGCTGCGTAAAAGGTTGGAGAAAAGCTGAAAAAGATTCAGCATCACGTGTGATGGATTAAACCCCATTTTTCTCTTCTTTTTTTAAAAGTTGATGTTCTTAATTAAATATGGGGTATCATCATCTTTTAAGACTCAAATGTGACTGCATCCGGACATTAGAAATAGAGGCACCATATTTATTTCCTTTTTTTTTTTTTTTTTTATGAATTTTGATACAACATGACGAAATACTCAGGGGGCCACCATTTGACCTTTCAGGCTACAACGATGACAGTGATCAACTTTGCATCTTGAAGGATTATTTTGAGAACCCATATTGTTCTCCCTTTTGTTATGATCACTGCTTCCACACTTATTATATCGTCCTTTGTTCTTTTCACGCTCACACACAATATAATCGCTCTGATTATTTTATCTTATTTCAGACTGGTTGTGTGCTTCTACCGCATTTCTTCCGGTAATGGAGCAATTTCAGTGGGACGGACTTCACGATTTCTCTTTAAAAGAGCATTATGTTGTTCAATCACGAGAAGACATGAGATCCTTTCAAAGTATTTCTGAAAATCCTTTTCACAATATTGCTAGAGTAATATGACAATTGAAGCATGAAAAGTAAGTGTCTTTTCCAACATATCCTCATCTTTTATAGTTTCTCCAAATAATTGCAATTGGGAAGTGATTCTAAAATAAAGTCGTATTATACTCAACTACGATTTTAAAATCTTGAAATCAGAAGTGAATCAACTCATAACAAACCCTTGGCAATACCGTTACCTTAAGATGGTTTTACCTTCCCACAATTTAAATAGATCTTTCATTGTCAAGTATTCGACCTTCACGCTTTCATCAAGATGATGAAAGCGAAGGAAAATCACATCCTTTGCTTTATCCTAACTTGACACTTCATTTTCTTCAATTATAGTATCACCAAGACCCTTAGCGGTAAGGTAAATTTCAGTATCAAATATCCATGACAAATAGTTCTTTCCAGAAATGTCAAGTGCCACAAATTCAAACTTTAATAAATTTGACATGATTAAAACTACCATAAATTAGTTGAGTTACTATCAAGATGTTAGTTTCTTTATAATAAATGGTAAATTAATGTTTCCAAAATAATAAAGTATAATATGAGTATAAAATATATTGTTGGAATATTGACCCCTAAATTTTCCCAAGGAACGGGTATATTCTATTTGTTCCTTACTGATTACAACAACTATGTTATGTAAAGCAAAAACAGTAATGGCAAATTACTTAATCATGAAGAACCCTCAACTTATAAAGGGGTAAAAAAAACCATGACCTACACCTATGTAGGGATTTAACTCAACTTCATTAACTCTAAGCCTCAACAAAAGATTACAAACTTATGTAACCTAAGGAACTATAAACTCTAATTCATAGGCGCCAACAACCAACTAAATTGTCGACCCTACTTCAAGATATCTCAAATTAACAAACATTCAAAAACACATATTATAGATTCTTCAAAAACCGAGCTAAATGTTACATGTCAAGATTCAGAAATTATACGGCACCAAGTTGGATTGTGAGAGAATTGTGTAATCAATCATTAAATTGAATATTGACTGAATAAAGAAGAATAAAGTCTACCATTTCTACGTAAATGGTAAAAAAGATAAATACAAGAAGGTCCCAGGAAGCTATTTGCCTCTAATTAACCATATGTATATTCTCAACAAGCAAAAATAAATAAGGGTAACTCTCAGCCAGTGAAAATGGAAAGCTGGTATTTCCTCAGCTGGAACATAGACTTCCCCAGCAACTGCCTACCTGTAGCGACTTCATTCAGAATTTCGTATTAAATCTCTTCTGTTAGCGCCACAAAGTTACTGAATCCCAGGAGAATGATGGGAACACACAGTCCGCAACATAAAACCCTGCAAGATTTTCAGTATCTATGAGCACCTAGTATTTCAAGGTAACATATACAACTTGATGGTTCTAAGTGGTTCGCAATTGATGAATTGAAAACAGATTAGATGGGACGTTCCTCACGCACATACAAAAAGATCCAAAGTCCAATAGCTAGAGAAAATGTTTATTTTTGAATCTTTATTTTTTTCTTTCTCTATTTATTTATATGTTTGAACTTTGAATCTATAATTTCATATCATGTATATTGTTCCTTCGGCAGATGTTGCATATATTATGTTAATCAGAGATCTCGTATCTAGTCAGCAAATCTCAATAGTGGCAGCTTTTTCAATTTCACTTGTGTAACTACAATCAAGAGTAAGCAGAAATATCAAACAGAATCAGCAGAAACAATTTTTGTGTGTGTGTGTGTGTGTGTGAGAGAGAGAGAGAGAGAAGGGGGGAAGAAATGGTCATATCATATTCTCATTCTATTGTTCCATGGACGACGATATATATTAATGACTTCAGCGAAGCCACAGCACAAACAAAACACTCAAAGCAAGCGACTTTGAACAATGAGTCTGATTGCACCACCGCCACTGTAAGATAACTCAAAAACAACAGTAAATCCATTTTGTGTGTAACTTCTTAGGGGATCAAAACACAACTCATTCCCAGTCTAACCTTACCTCTATATTACCTACTGTCCCCTTCCCCACACACACACACACATGCACAAAGAAACTCCCAGATCAAATAGCTTGCTGGGTCCCCATTTCACCAATTGTTTCATTCTCTTCCTAGCTTACAAGTTCAATGCAATGAATGCAGCGAGTTAAGCAAACTTTTAACAGCAAAACCAATGAAAGATTAAATAAATGGCACAAACCTAGGAAGAACCTCACACAACAGATTATCAACTTAATGCATACAATCAGAAAGGGGTCTGGGAAAGAGAGAACATAGGTTTTATCCATATACCCATGCCAAACTAGATAGAGCAACCTAAATTATATCTCCTTGCACTTGCCATTTAAGGCCCCAAGGCCCAGCTCCTACCAAAATTGACCATATAGATTCCCTTGTTAAAAGCACCTGCCAATCAACTTTCAGCTTTATGAAACGTCACTCACCGAAAAGTCCTAGTCATCCCCGTCACTGCTCGTTTGAGATTCATCTATGCCATACATAACTTCATCTACCTCATCATCCTCACTATCATTCATCTGCCCCTCGAGTGTTAATGTCGGACTTTTCTTATTATCAGCCTTCTCAATCTGATAAAAAAGTAAGAATAGATAAGGGTTCATGCAAAAAATGTAATGGACTAAGATTCATTTACTATAGAAGTAACCAACCTGTGCCATTACGAGTTGCAAACGGCCAGATAACTGCAATAATGAGTTAAGGGCTACCCCCTTTGACTTGGTAAGCTGAAAAAACAAAAAAGATTGAAGTGCTTAATAGCTTTCAACTTTTGCAGTTTCTAACAACAGAGCAATAGTGAGTTTTTTGTCATCATGAACAAATAAGAAGATCAACAACTAATGAGAAACAACAAATTATGGTGACAAATTCTTCGAAGCAGTAGGAAAACAGGGGTTCTATTGGAGATTCAATTCTTTGGAAACTGACACAAAATGTGGCACCTATAAAGCATGATATCATGATGGTGGGATTTAGTACTCTATTCATTGCAGTTCCCTAGAAATGAATATGCCTACCAACAGACATCAGGGCCAGTACTTCATCAAAGGAGTTGAAACAATTAAAGCATAATAGGAAATGGACTGACCCTCAAGATATGTTAAACTAACCAATTTTAATCAGATATTGACTTCAGTTATCAAACAATGAGAACCCAAACTAATGGATATTCAAATGGAACAGGTCCAAATGAAACGGAATGGATTATTTATATAGACAACCCCAACTAATCTCGGATTAAGATATCAAACAAATTATGCATACTGTAAAATGACTCCCATTTTCCTTTGATTTTTGGCCATTTTCTAACTTGTTAGGTGATCAAACTTGATTAAAGTCTCATGATTGCTAATCTTCTTGTAGTCTTCTACAAAGCAATTTCAGTTACAAACTTTACTAGTCTAGAACAATAAAAATGTGTTTGTCCACCCAATGTGCCCCAGCTTAGCTACTCAAGGGACACTGCAATACACTTCAGATGACTCTGCCAACCACCCCTGTGGAGTAAGGAAGGAGCTTTTTAATGTGACTGCAAATATGAGTCTTCCACTTAGGTTACAACATGTAGGTAAAATAATCAATTTACAAAGGCACTTTCTCCATTAATCAATACAGAAAATATGGTTCCTTGCAACAAATAGGCAGGTTCTCCGTACTAAAACAAACTGCAGTATCCAGAAAAAAATGGCACTCCATGAGGAAGTGTTACATCATACATGGAATCTTTGTTTACCTGGATATACTGATGGGTAATATGGGTGTGAACAGTTCAATTTTTTTTTAAAAATGGGTGGTATCCAGGCTGGCATGTGAACTCACTATACCACAAGGTACCTGCTACTTCCCACCACCCGTAGAGGTGATGGCAGTATCCACCCATGGAATAAAATCACTTGATAGGTGTTTGGACATGAATTGGTTGATATTTGAAGAAAAAAATAGAGATTTAAAATTAAGGGGGTGTTTGGATTGACTTTTTATAAGTAGCTTGTAAGCTAAAAACTAAAAGCCATAAGTTGGTCATACCCAACTTTTGGTTTTTAGCTTTTTGTTTTTTTTTTGGGCCTAAAAGTAGGTGCTTACAACTTACAAGCACTTTTTGTTTTTTCCAAACACCTCTAAAAAATAAAAAAAGATCTTAAAAGCCAAAAGTTACTTAAAATAGGCCAATCCAAACACCCTCGAAGTTGAAAAGGATATTTGAAAGTTGAAATTTTGTTTGGACATGAAAGCATAGTTGAAGCCTTGTGTGGGAAAACTTGAAAAATTGCATAGAACTCCTAAAACCTATTTTTCAAGCTTCATGTTTCATATTTCAAGTTTGAAGTTGAAATAATGAGCCAGTTAGATAGATGAACAAATAGTTATTTGAAATCACCTCCAAATATTATGTCAAGTTTTTGAAAGAAAATCTATGGAAAGATATTACTTCAAGTATTTGTCACTACTGGAATTTGAACTTGGTCGCTAGGGTTCGCAAAGAGAAGAAGAAAAAAGGCAGAAACGTACCTGCTGAGGTCGCTAAGCAGCAGAGAAAGAAGAACTGAAGAAGAAAAAACCTATTGAAGGTTGTGAAGCTGGAGAAGAGAGTCGTGATTGCGAATAGGAGAGAAAAAAGGGAGAAGAAAGTCGAGTTTGTCCAAAACTTCAAATAAACCCTAATTTTGCTTTTTAATTATTAAATCAGACCTGTTTTTAGAAAATGAAAAAAAGGCAACGCCTTTAGCGCCTCGCCTGCCACTCGCAACTCGCCATTGCCTCGACTTTTCGAGGTCGCCTCCCCTTGCCAGTAATAGGCGCAAAGGCGATCTCCTTTGAGAACAATGGCGACGAAGCACTCGTTTCTAACAACACAGCCTCCTCCAGAACATACCTCACAATAACACTCATCACATTAACTTGGGAAACCAAAAAGAAGTAATTTATCAAAAAGATCAATCAGAAACAAGACTACAGAAAGCATGAAACCATCGACACTTGGCGACCCTAAAAGTAATCCCATAAATTTCACAGCAACAGTAGCATTGTAGAAGAATATCTACCTTGTTCATGGAATCTAGAAGAGGCGTCAGTGGTTCCTGCGATGTAACAAATTCATTGTGGTTCACCAATATACAGCATATCCATGGAAGAACATGTGTTCCCAAGCTTGATCTGCAAAAAAGAAAATACATGCAAAACCAAAAGAGAATCATCATATGCATAAATATTTAGCCATCAATAACTAAATGATGAACAATTCATTCTGCCAAATAAAGCAAGAACTAGCCCTTTTGAAGAGTTACAGGAGTGCAAAATTCTGATATGAATCTCCAAATTTATATCTTAAATTGTGGCAATCATTACTTCTGCAACATTGTGTTTCATGATGTCCATAAAGAAAAAATTAGCTATTTGTAGAGAGTTTCAGGAGGATAAACTTTTCCAATATGAATTCCAAACTCTTAACCCAACCGAGAAAAACCCCAAGGCAGGTGCAAACTGTTCGAAACTCAGTGAAATTGGATCTACCCATCTACTCTTCTTCACTTAAACATCAGAATTTTGTCAGTGCCGGGTTGAAGCACGTGATGAGCACCTAACTACACATCACATGCTGCACACTTATCACCAGATCAAAGCCCTGGGGCAATTTGTTGGTAGTATTTTCAAGTAGTTTAAAACTTCCAATTCTATCTCAAATTGAAATGATTTATGTCAAAGAACATTCAATGGAATTAGTTTCAACAACAAGAATTGAAACAGGCAATTCTTTTAGGTACTTAATTCAAAAAAGAGTACCAACTTTTGAAGTACATGCAAGTGAGATGATTTTCTTTTCAACGTAGCTGCATCTCTTTTCGGGAGACATCTCCATGTTTTTTGTTCCATTCTCAAGTCCCTTTAACTTATGAAAACTTGTTTCTGTAGTAGACCAATTCGTTAATACACCGCCAAGCCATTTTTCCCCATTCATTAGATAAAGAAGATCACCAAGATTTCGCGACCCACTGCTGAATTTATACCCATTCCAAGAGCTCAGATCAAATCAGTATTGATATACCGATTCAATCCGAGCTCTTATTGAGAATGCTCATTCAATGAATATTCTCAATATGCATGTAACTTGTTTTGAATTTCTCTTTATTTTACATACGCCATTTCCTTAAGGTTATTTTAGATTTGTATCCACTGCAGTACTCTAACTCTCTTTAAAGTGTACTACATTACATGAAATGTAGTTCATGATTTCCCTTTTTTGGCTCCTTAAAGTGGGGGTATGCAGTGCATCTCCACTCTTAAAGGTACAATATGGAGTCAAAGGGTGCAATCTCCTTAAAGGGTTTGAAGATCCCACCTGGACTGCCATGCAGCCACCAAGGCTTTCAAAAAATTGTAAGCATCATGTGGTTCCATGGATAAAACAGCTGCTTTCATCTGCGTTAAATGAATACAGTTAAAAACAAATTATTCCAGATATTTTAACATAAAAAGTGACCAAATCAGACCCAAAAGTATCCTCAGTATTTCAAGAGATATGGACCTTCTTTTGTGGCACACTAGCATCAGCACTTATTCTTTTCAAAATCTTAGCATCAAGAATTGAGGGAGGCAAGAGATCATTGTCGCTGCTAATTATACCCAAGGATCTTAACTGGTCCTCCATGCAAATTGTGACCTCATCTTCTGCTTGTTTACCAATGACATCTGTAAATAGCAATAAAGAAAAAGCTTCCATGTTCAGAAGTAAGCACTTAGGTGACATCTTTATGTATTCTGGAGACAAAAGGATAAACACAGAAATTAATTAAGACAATGTTCTAACAGTCCATAGAATCAAGACGAGAGAACTATAGTTAGTGATGGAACACTTCCTGAGTTATTCTACCAAAATTTCATCTTAGGTCACATAACTTACTCTCCACTAGTAGTAAAGTACTGATGAAAAGAGAAGAAAGTTCCCCTCACACATTTGAGTTGAACAATACAATATTCAGCACAAAATCACTATAGGCAGATCATGGATCACAAGTCTCAAAATGACGATTAACCCGAATAAAGCAGGAGTCTAGATGCAGTAGAGAATCTCAAAGAGTTCTGTTTACTTCAACCTACAATTCCAGCATGGAGTAAACAGTTTCATCAGCAGTTCTAGTCTATAAGATTTTTCCTCTTGGGGAATTCAACCTACACTACCCCACAAGTGAGGGTATATTGTTGTTGTTTGGAATTCAACCTACAATCAGATATGGAATAACCAGTTGTGTCAGCAGCTCTAGTCTATAAGATTTTTCCCCTTAAGGAATGGCAATGAGACTTGAAATCAAGATACACAACCATCGCATGTTCCAAAAAGGTGTTAACATATTGCGCAGACGCAAAAAAAATGTGCAGGGCAATTTAGGTGATACCTTTGCTAACTGTGGGCTTAATTCCAGTCTCCACGCCAACCTGATCAAGAATCATGGGCAAAGGAAGTAACGCACCCTCTGCATTTGCACGATCCAGAGCAGTAACTGTTGAATGCAAAAAAAAATGTTAGGACACACCTGTAACAATTTCAAATTGAGCATCGCATTTAAATCTTTGTGATTCTTTACCATTAAACTGAAAGATAATATCACTTTTTCCTTCCTTCCTAAGGAAATAGATGGTAGAAAAGCTAAACATGTTGCAATTACCATTTATTAATGCAATTCCGTAACTCTGTCAAACATCACCTCATACTTATGCATATTAACTTGAACGCCAAATCAAACACATGGCTTAAAGATTACACAAAGGAGGAAAGATATTAAATGTACATAATGGCACAGGATGACTGTCATCTCAAGGCTTTGAACAATTTTCTTTTGTAAGTGATATGGCATAAGATTGTATTAGATGGGAGCTAAGAATACAAAAAGGGACTAGAAAAAAGAACACAGTGGTGTATTGGACCTACTTTCCTCCTAGACATTTTCAACTAATAAAATTTAGACGGGCCATTCACAAGGATACATTGGGCTCCTCTACATATAGGGCAATAGATTAGGAGGTTAAAATTCTCTAATCTGGAGAAAACGTTAAGAGAGGAAAGAACAGGTGGAAATTAGTCATGTGGAAAGAAATGAAAAATGCATTAAGGGAACAGCAAATTTGCAGATATAAGAGCAAAAAATTCCCGAAACATACACATTGCCATGCCAAATATGTCAATGGTATTTCCTATTTAACACGGTTTGATTATCAAATACAGGGTTCGATAATTACATGTTTTTTTTTACATAGCAATTAGAGAAGACAGGGGAGGCAAGTGCAAAAGAAGGAGGAGAGAATGTTACCCTGACTCTGGGTGTTGGATGCTTGTTTAGATTTGCGAGATTGACTGAAGGGTAGAAGGATCCCGTCAAGTGAACTTTTTAATCTGATATCCTCCCCAGGCTGCACCATAACTTTTTCAAATGATGGTTTTATAAGCAAGCCATATGCAACAAACATATGGCCAGAACCAGATGTGCCAATAGATTGCAATTTTGCTGAAAAAATACTATGCATGGTTTCTTTATGTTTCTTCATTATTTTCTCATCTAAAGATGCACATATCTTTGTGGGCTTCCTATTGTGCAATTCCTCAAAGCTCTTTCCATGCCAAAAGTAGCAAACACCAATTTCTGAAATGGCCAAAACACCCAAGCCTGCATCATTTTCAGCTCCAGATTTAATGTTGTAGCTATCCAAGAAGACAGCAGGGTGATCCATTGCCAGCGAGCAGCATGCTGATTTCTTTTTGCTACCATCTAACTTCCAAACTGCTACATGTCGGTCACCAACAGCAGAAGAAAGAACATGTCTCCCATCTTCAGAGAAAACCACACACCGGACAGCCCCCTAATACAAAAAGGAGAAAAGAAATAAGGTGACTCCCAAGGATTGTATTAGAAGTATTCTGCAGGCTGTATTAACTTCACTTAACCACGAAGAAAATGCATCAAAAGGTAAGTATATGGAAAATAAAAGGAAAAATCATAATACTCACAGGGTGGCCTGTAAATTTCTGGAGCTTTTTGTCATCCAAGCAATTGAAAACCTTCAACTGAGAAGTTGCTGTTGCTAATATTTTCCCATCTGGCTAGACATAAGCCACAAGAGGAAACCAAATTAAGCATAGAAAGTTGGTTGCTACAAGAAAACAACAACAGGAATGCTAACACGAGATACTGGAGGAAGGAGGACAAAACTGGAGCAATACATGTATCCAGAAACACTATAGTGATCACAATGACACTAGAAGAATTTTGATAACTCTTGACTCAGGGAATCTTGCATCATTGTTGGGAGTACTCCATTTTGCATTATGAAACAGAGAAGGATAAAAGATGCACTATCATATGATTAATCGCCTTTTGTGCATGCATAAAGATAAAAGATGTCTCCTTGTTTCATATGTCACTCGATGACCACGCTTTCAGTTACTACCAGATTGACTAAAACAAAAGATAATTGAACTGTAGCCATCAATGAAGACAATGAATATTTACAGATACAAACCTGATGAAATGGATAAAGATGATATTGCTTTAGTGGAAGCTTTAAACTTATGCAGTAAATTCCCGGACATGGAGTCAATTTTGCAAACTAGTCCATCAGCACCAGCCGTGTAAATGAATGAACCATGTGAAGGGAATGAGATGGCGTTAACACCGCTGCTCATGGACATACAAAATTTCAATAAAAGCAAGGGAGATACGTCATATCATCATCTTACTATATGATAATGTCCCATAAAATAATATAGACAAATGCACCTTTGAACTGTGAGAATGATACATGTAAAAGGAACAGAGGCAAGCTCCAAGATGGAGACAGTACAAGTGGCATGATCTACAGGTCATTACTACTTCAGAGATCAACTTTATCACAGAGTTCTGCTTTACTTTTACAGCATTAGGATACAAAAAACACTGAGCAACTAATGACAACCGGAAAAATAATAAGAGAAAAACGTGGGGTAAATTATTTATTAATTTTTTTGTTGACAAGGGAACCCGCAGGCACAGGGTAAACCTTGCTCTTGTGCAATAGCTCACAAACGACATAGGAGAGGTAAACTGCACTAGGCAAGCCCCGTGCAACGAGCTTGATCCAGAAAATTGATCCCCAGTAGTCACACACAAGCAATGGTTTCGACTTGAGACCTCCATTATGGGAGTCCCAAGCCAAACCATCTGAGCCACCTTAAAAATTATTTTCATTACAAATAGCACAACTGACAAAAGATCATCCAAAATCTCCCTTCTTCAAAGTTGGACATATGTGCTAGACATCAACTTCTGGGCCTCTATATTTACACTTGTCGAATTGCAATCTAAAACTATTTTACATTTTCTTCACAATACGTCCTACACCTCACATTGAAAGATTTATATTCCTATGCCCATTGTCCAACACATAAGGTTTATATTCCAATGTCCATTGTCCAACACATAGTATGAAGTAGAAACATAAAAGAAAGCTTTACAGTAAATAAACCATTCTTTCTGTAAGTCGAGATAATTCTAGTTATGAGTTTCGCAAAAGAACTTACCCAGGATGGCAATCACTAAATCTCCATTTCAGATGACCTGCAGATACATCTAGAGCCAAAACATCACCACTTCCTGTACCTAACACCAACAATGAAGTTCCAATCTTCCTTTTTTTCTGACCAACCAGTAAAAATAGCTCTAGTTAAAAAAAGAGTCATACTAAATAATTCCTTTTTTTTCTCAAACAAAATTGTACCTTTCTGTCACATGATAACCACTTCATGCAAGTATAATCCATTGAAAGATGACCTCCTGGCTTATTAAACAAGCTTTCTGTCTCCATTGACACAATATCTGCAAACTCGGTCTGTACCTGACCCTTCACAGTATCCCATATCTGAAAGAAAAATTCCCAAATGATATACTTAATAAAATTCCAAGAAAATTCCAAATGATTAAAGGACTATACCTTGATACGGCCATCACCAGAACTTATAGCAAAGAAGTCCAGCGAAGGACTAAAACAAGTCAAAATATCCCTTATATTAGCTGTGCCCATTGCTGAAACGGAACTTCGAGTAAAAACTGGAGCTTCCGGCGACGTAGAAGGTAGAGCTGCTGAACGGACGGTGGAAAACTGGACCTTCCGGCGACGGAGAAGGTAGAGCTGCTGAACGGACTGTGGCGCTGAAAAGAGGGAAATAGCAAAGGGGCAGGGCGGCTTAAAGAGAAGGCTAAACCTTCAAAATTTTGGGGTTTTGCTCAATTAGAAAATATTCAAGTTTGGTGAAAAACAAGAATTATAAGTAAAAAAAAGGATTTATATTTTAAATAATAATAAAAATATTTTGAAATTTTCAATTACACTATTTTTTTCATCTTTTTTGGTTTCCCTACTCGGTGTCCAATACCCACATTAGAGCCCGACTATTTAATGTATTTATAGAGTAAATTATATATTTAAATATTTCTTTTTAATAATTAAGATATCAAAAATCAACTAAAATTTTGTTTATTAAATTATTATTTTATTTACAACTATTTAAGACTTTCAAATTAATTAAAACTATATCTTAAGTAAATCATTTCCTTATTTAAACAACGAAAAATATTTTAAAATGTCCTTGAATTATGTGAAATTGAACAAAAATGTTCTTAGTTAATAATTTAGATAAAAAATGTTTCTATAGTCAATATATTTTTTGTCCAAAATTGTCTCTCTCACTAATAATTTAATCTAGAATGTCGCTATTATTACTTAAGGACTAAAGTGTATTAAAAGTGACAAAGTAGTTTGTTAATTAGGTAGGAGTCCTCCAAGTTTTAAATTTTAGGTAGAAGTGACAATTATATAATTAATATTAATGAAATTAAAAAATCTTTCCTCAACAGCCCCAAACTTTTAACTTTTACACTTTTACCCTATATTTTTTATCTCAAAATACCTAAAATTTCACTAAAATATATGAGAAGAAAAAAGGCGGTACTTTTTCTCACCTGCAGCGTCTTCAACAACGAGCCTGAAGGACAACTACCAAGTCTTCAACGAGGCTGAAGTATGCTTCTCAATTCCCTTCTTCTTCTTTTTCTTCATTCTCACCATTCTTAATTTGTAAGCATATATGTGGTTTATGAGAAGATTTATCAAGAAAATTTTGTGAAAATAGATACCAAATTTTTTTAAACATTTTGCATTGCATTGGTTCCGTTTGATCTTGAAATTAACACAAAAGAGCATTATTGATAAGTATAAAAATTACTTTGTGTCCATTCTTCAGCTGGTTTATTAAATCTAATTTGATTATTTCAGCCAACAACTTTCGTAGTTGTCTGGACAACTGCTGAAGTTGTTTGTAGAAATAAATAAACATCTCTGTCATATATAGAAATTGTCTAACAATAGTCTGTAGCTATCGGACGATTATAGAAGTTGTCCCAACAACTACTGCAGTTGTTTGACAGTTGTGTTCAGTTGTTGGTCAACGGATTAGTTTTTAGGACAAGTAATATAATTGTGGGCAAAGTATTAATTGTTGAAATAAATAATTGAAGAATTATAGCAGTCTCCAAAGCTACTAAACTTTTATGCCAATTGTTGATAGTTGTGAGGTAACTAAATAGATGTAAAACAAGTAATCAATGTTCTTTTGCAATTTTGCAGTTCTTTGATGAATGTCTTACTTGTGATGTCTCCAGGTATTGTTTCCCTCTATGGAAGACCATATAATAATAGGAGTTGATTTACATGGTGAATGGGTTGAGAAGATTATAGAGGCTACAAATTCAGTTGTAAATGATGAAGAGCATCCTGTTACAATGGATATTCCTATAAATGAGGAAGCTTCACTACATCCGATATCAACACAAGGTAGCCGCTACACAGATGATGACGGCACAAATTTTTATTAGGGTAAAATTTTCAAGGACAAGCAAGAATTAACTAAATTGTTGAAGCTTGCTTCCGTGAAGAAAGATCAAAGATTCAAATCTGTGAAGAGTTCTAAAGATGTGTATTGTGCTAGATGTGTAGATCAGAATTGTGATTGGTGGTTGCGAGCTACAAAACTTAAAAGTTGTAATAGATTTGAAATTACAAAGGATCGCAACATTCACTCATGTGGGGCATAACACCTTACAAGTCATCATCCACATGCCTCAACAGATGTCATTGCAGAATACATACAACCTAATTACTTGAATGGAAAAGGTCCCTCCTCAAAAGACATAAAAAATATAGTGCAAGCAGATTTGGGCTGCAAGATTAGTTACTGGAAGTGTTGGAAAAGCAGTGAGATAGCAAAGGCTATGATAAGAGGGACACCGGAGCACGAATATGCAGTTCTAGATGGTTATCGTCATATGCTTATGACTATAAATGAAGGAAGCAAGACATCGTTAAAGCTTGATGACAAGGGAAGGTTCAAATATTTTTTTGCATCTTATGGAGCTTGGATTAGGGGGTTTGTGCATATGAGAAAAGTTTTAGCCGTTGATGGAACATTCTTAAGAGGTCATTACGATGGAGTTTTATTGTCTGTTGTCGCACAGGATACAGAAAATCATGTTTTTCCTGTTGCATTTTGTGTAGTAGATAAGGAATGTGATGCCGCATATGAGTACTTTTTTGAGAAATTGTTGGACATAGTCCCTGATACTTCAGAGTTGTGCATTATTTCTGATAGGCATCCAAGCATAGAAAAAACACTATCAAAATTTTACTCTGAAGCATACCATGGATGTTGCACGAGGCATCTTGGTGAAAATGCCCGTAAAATTTTTCATTGTGGAGCTTTTCTTGGACATTATTACCTTGCAACAAAAGCATATCGGAGAGATGTGTTCCATGACCATTTTGAACAAATCCGAATTATCAATGCAGAGGTCGCTGATTATCTTGAGAATGTTGGGTTTCACAAATGAAGTAGAGCATATTTTCCAAGAAACAGGCAAACTTTCTTACTAGTTCAAACATAAATATTGCAGGTCTCTAACAATTGTTGTAGTTGTTGGAATAATTAGTATAGTTGTTCGAACAATTATTGTAGTTGTTGGGACAATTATTATAATCGTGGGAACAATTATTATAGTTGTTGGACAACTTTCATAGTTGTTTCAACAGCTGCAGAAGTTGTGGGACATTAAAAACAGTTGTTTTTAAAACTACAATAGTTATTAAAAATCTGCAATAGTTTGTATTTTAATTTTTGATGTTTTTGAATTTTTATATTTCAGATATGATGTATTGACCTCAAATATTGCTGAGTCTGTTTATGCAATGTTCAATGAAGCAAGAGAATTTCCCATTATTGCCTTGTTCAATGATATAAGCAAGAGATGGTCGAAAAAATTTCATGAGAGAAGAATGACATACGCCAAGTTAAAAACCACATTCGTTCCTTCAACCAAAACTAAAATAATGGCTAATAAGAATCTGGGAAATAAATTATTGGTCCATCAAATTGATGAAGACACCTTCAGTGTCACCGCGGACAATGAAATCGCAATGGTCCATCTTCGAAGTAAAATATGTTCGTGTCAAGAGTTTGACTTGGATAAAATACCTTGTCAACTTGCTATGGCTGCGCTCAGACACAAATTTGGAGATGAATATGGCAAGATGATTTATAAGTACTCTTCTCCGTATTATAAGGTAGAGTCATATATACTTGCATATGCAGATTCAATCTATCCAGTGCCAGCTGAAGAATTTTGGAATCTTCCTCTGGAAATTTTAGAGAGAGTAATACCTCCACCTGAAAAGAAAACTAAACTGGGAAGGAAGCGGCTGAAACGAGTACCTACTATAGGAGAAGTGGTTTCAAAGAAAAGAAATAAATGCTCTCTATGTAAAAGATTTGGCCACAAAAAAACTTCATGTCCTACGAGATCGAATGAAGTTGCAGGAACAAGTAATGGTGTAGTTTCATGAGTTATTATCGTATGCATAACATGTATTTATAGATGCTATGATTAGTTCAAACAATTATGTAGTTAAGATTTTTATTAGATGTATACCAACAACTTCAAAAGTTGTTGGACAACGGATACAGTTGAAGGGGTCAAGTTTTTCAATTAACTGCACATTATTAAATAACTGCTTTAGTTTTTCCAACAACTTTTTAATTGTCCAACGTCTTCTCACAGTTGTCCAACAACTTCGCATAGTTGTCTAACAACTCTAATAGTTGTTGGGACAATTTTTATAATTATTAAGATTACTTCGCATTGATATTGAAGATCAATGGAGTTATTTTGTGAATTATTAAGTATAAACTAAGTTGTTTAACAATAATTGAAGATCGATCGAGTTATTTTGTGAATTATTAGTATAAACTAAGTCGTTTAGTAAAAATTAAAGATCAATCGAGTTATTTTGTGAATTATTAAGTATAAACTAAGTAATTTAACAATAATTGAAGATCGATCAAGTTGTTTTGTGAATTATTAAGTATAAACTAAGTCGTTTAACAATAATTGAAGATCGATCGAGTTATTTTGTGAATTATTAGTATAAATTAAGTCGTTTAGTAAAAATTAAAGAACAATCGAGTTATTTTGTGGATTATTAAGTATAAACTAAGTAATTTAACAATAATTGAAGATCGATCGAGTTATTTTGTGAATTATTAAGTATAAACTAAGTCGTTTAACAATAATTGAAGATCGATCGAGTTATTTTGTGAATTATTAGTATAAACTAAGTCGTTTAGTAAAAATTAAAGATCAATTGAGTTATTTTGTAAATTCTTAAGTATAAACTAAGTTGTTTAGTAAAAATTAATGATTGATCGAGTTATTTTGTGGATTATTAAGTATAAACTAAGTCGTTTAGTAAAAATTAAAGATCGATCGAGTTATTTTGTGGATTATTAAGTATAAACTAAGTCGTTTAGTAAAAATTAAAGATCGATCGAGTTATTTTGTGGATTATTAAGTATAAACTAAGTCGTTTAGTAAAAATTAAAGATCGATCGAGTTATTTTGTGGATTATTAAGTATAAACTAAGTAATTTAGTAAAAATTAAAGATCGATCGAGTTATTTTGTGAATTATTAAGTATAAACTACGTAATTTTGTGCAAAACAACTAAAGGATTGAAGGAACAACTAAACCAGTTGCAGGAACAACTAAACTAGTTGTAGAAACAATTGAACCAGTTGTACGAACAACTGAAGTAGTTATAGGAACAATTGAACCAGTTGTACGAACAACTGAAGCACTTACAGGGACGATTGAAGCAGTTGTAGAGACAATTAAAGTAGTT